AGAATTTTTCATGTCTCTAAGAGATCTTAGACGTGATTATTTGAATAATTTTAAGAAAACTTTCAACATTAAAATAAAAGCTGACGTCTTGAACTAAATGAAATATAAAGAATAACTTATTACTAAGGGAGGGCTTTTATCTGCGTGAAAAATGGCGCTATTAATAAAATGTTAAGTGATAAAAAGTAAATTGTTTTATCTGTGAGAAACTGGGGACAATATAATTTTTGGCCTATTTCAACGTTCTCAGAAAAATATATCACAGCCGAACACGAGAATAAAACACTGATATTAATATTTATAGCAGTGACTCCATTTAAGTAACATAATTGATGATAGATACAATATCTAACAAGATGCCGAGCTATCTTTGGCTTCGGATATTCGGAAATCCACAGACTCAAAGCGAAACGCGACAAAATTTCACGGCATTCTCATGTGTGGGCGGTGGTTTGGGACCCGGACGGTATTTCAATATTCCAACCATCTATTTAATATGCCATATTTCCAAACGAAATCCAATATGATTCAGAAAAAATACAAATTGGTTTGAAACATTTTTGACCCGTTGGGGATGAAAACTCCGTTGATAATTAGACACACCTTCGCGTCCGTAATATTTTTTTTTGCCATCCTGTGTTCATGTTAGTTTTAATTATCCCCCCTTCTTACCTCCATAATCATGTAATTATGTCAAATCCAGGTAACACTTATAACAAATCTTATTTTGTGGGCATGGCTTAATCCAAAAGCCAACATATAACAATTCTAATAAAACAAACATTTGTGCACCTTAGATTCACAGTATATATAGTTGTTCTTGTCTAACGCACGTATTTCTACATTCATATGAAAGGGACACAAATCGTTCAAAGATTGTTTGATTTCCGTAGAGATGCGGTGTTACCCGACTCCCTAAATAGTTTAGCACGAGTGATGTAAGAAAACTATCGATTATCGATTTATGATAATTTCATATTTTATTATCATATGTGTAGCCACAGGCAACAGTTTATGATGTAACATAGATTATTCAAGATCAAAATGCTGCTAGTGTCTCTAATGTCAAAGTCAAAAATGCAAATCTAGAGCCATTTGTTTCGTCTTAATAAGTATTTGAAAAAACTAGTTGGGCCTTAACAGAACTGACCAACGTTTTAACCGTTAATAGTGTTTTATTTAAATATTCTATTCTTTGTATTTTTATTCCACTTCAGTTATTATTAACACTATAAATTCAGATACTTTCGATTATATAAATTATAAATTGATCACACAGTGGTTATAAACTAAAAACTCTAATTTTACATTAATAACCAGTTCTCAAATATAGGGTGTAGAACGAACAAGATCAACTGGCAAAAAACTCGCCGCCACTCGTTTTATCGCCAAGTTTTATTTTGCAGTGTTCACGTACTTACAGCGCACTATATAATATTTCTTTTTAAAACGGGTCCCTTCAAACCCCTACATTTTTATATTGACTTGCTGATGTTAGAATATTCAACACTTTAAATTTATGTGTAGTATACAATGTAATATAATCGATATCGATATATTGTGGTTACATCACTAACACACACCTTAGTCCCGCTTCCGCTTCCCGGCGCATCTCGTCACTTCAGTTACATCTCGTGAACAATTCATTATGTTTATTTTGCTATTATTGTGGTGAGCTATTATTACGGATTTATTAGATTAAAAACCGTTGTTGAGACGAGTAGAACTAGAATTAAAACGGCAATCTACAAAAAAAATTTAATCGCCAAAAATAATAATCATTTATTCAACAATGGAAATAGATCGTTCGTCATTCACTAATAATGATTTTTTTCCTTATATAAAACACTTTTAACGTTTTAAAACGTGAATAAATTCTCTAAGGAACTAGTTCCACATACCTACTATAACGAAACAGATGGCGCTAGCGTAGCAGTTTTGACTTTGACATTAGGGACACGTATCCCTTAAACTTATTTACAATTTATTTCAACTACGGACCGACGTTAGATCAATATAGCAATATAAATTGTAAATCAGTTTAACTAATACATTTCGCGTTTTAAACCGGTAAAGGTGTTTTATTTAAATTGTACTCTCTCGACAAATTGTACTCGTATTATTATTTTGGAAATTTAAAACCGATACCTTGATAGGTATAACCCAAAAATGTTTAAAAGTTTATATTGATGACCTATAACGAATTTGTTCATCTATCTATACTAATATATAAAGCTGAAGAGTTTTTTATTTGGACGCGCTAGTCTCAGGAACTACTGGTAGGAATTAAAAAAAAAATTGTTCGATTAATAGGAGCAAAGAACAACTATTCTTCGAAGTCGCTAACACAGCTAGTAATTTCATAAAAATATTCAAGTACAGTTTGAAAGGCTTTTCAAAAAATGGTTTGTATTAAGAAATAAAATTATTCATGCATCTCTCTAGATACAAAAGGACGTGTCTCCACTTCGAATGAGCAACGGGCGTGGGTTGGAATGCGTCGAACGAATAAGCCGCATTTTTTGCAGCCCTCATCCCCTGTGATGACTTTCAACTACAAAGCTTTCAGGCGATCAAATGTCATAGGCAATTAGGTTTTTTCAGGAGAGCTCCGTCTTTTTTCAGGAATCTTTTATACCGTCTAGTTCAATGATAACCACTTTTAACATTGGGTAAAATGGCACAGGTCCTTGGTTTGATTTTTTTTAAATTATTCATCCTAAAGAGCCACTATAGAATTTCTTTTCACAAGTTAAATAATCCCTTTTAAGTAAAAGTAAGTCTGTAGTTTACGCGAGTAGTACACATTTAAACAAAACACTTTAACGGTTTAAAATGCGATATATTTTAGTTATACTTATTTGATAAATTATTTTAACAGTAAATAAGTTTAAGTAATATATATCGCGTTTTAAACCGTTAAAGTGTTTTATTTAATTACTAACGTATTTTCTATCATTTATATCTTTATGATAGAAGACGACAGACAAGCTCGATAGAAAGTATAATCTAGGTATATAACGTCTAAACTATTGTAGACACATCGCTAACCTATTCGACTTTGGATATGCGGAAACCCGCTTTAATTTCATGGCAGTTTCGATATTCCTACCCTCAATTCAATATTCAAATTTCATTATAAAGTAACTTGATTAATTAACAAAAATAGTACATTAATAAGAAACATGTTAAATACCTTTACGCGGGTAGCGGGTACCTCTTGAAACGAGTGTAATGGTATAAAACGCGAAATGTATTAGTTAAACTTTTATGCAAATGATTTTAACTACGGCCCGGCGTTAAGCGACATGTTGACGTGGTTCAAACCAACTAGCCAACAACATAGAGCCATAGAGTCGTATCAATAACTTGCCTGTAACTAGAGTTTTGAAATCTGCACTACACCCCATATATTATAACAGATACAGGATTTAACGGTACGTTTTCAATATTTATTTAAGAACACTAATGACCAACTGAAATATAGATGGTAAGTCCCACAACGTAATCGAAACACAAAGCACAATTTTGTTCCGAGCCGAGTACTGAGTTAAGTACCTAAGTTAGATTGAAGGAGTTGAGTCCGTCGATTTATCGACGTCGACAGCATGATTCTATGCTCGAATTATTTGTGTAGATTTCTGGGAAAAATATTTTATACGAAAATAAATAAAACCACTATTTCCGTAAAAAATCTGTCTATTTGAATTTGCTACTTTGACTGGATCTATTTATTTGCGTTTGAAATTAACTTAATTGTTAATTAATCAACAGTTTTTTTTATCGTTTTTTCTTGTCTTTAAGACACTGCACATAATATTTATTATATACATCTGCGAAATAAAATAAGGTAGAACATACACCAGGAGCAGTAAATTCGTTCTGATTCACACTGATATACTGATGTAACTAATGTACGGAACATTATGAAAGGAAATAGAATTTTCTAGAAATATTAACATGAATTATCTCTTATGCTCATACATAAACATGTTTGATGGTTGTTTACATGTATTCCACATAGTTAGTAGTGAAACGGGCCGAAGTTAAAAACATTTCAAATAAGTTTAACATATATCGCGTTTAAACCGTAGTGTTTTATTTAAAAGTTAGTAGTGTGTTAAATATATAGTATAAACTTTCGTATCAAAATTTTTGTACAATTATAGTATATATAAGTGTTGCAAACCAATCTGTTTATGCAATTTTTATTATGAAAACCTTTTAAAGGGAATAAATATCTTCCATTTTTTTAACATTTTCTTCAATATCGCAGCAAAATATATATCTTATAGTGTACCAAGTAAAAGTAACTATACTATAATCTACTAATGTGACTGCTAAGACTATTTTACACTGCATTTAAATAAAGCTCTTTAAACCGTTTAAAACACGAAATGTATTTTTTTTACCTTTTGTTACCGGACGTTTCCTAATATCCGTTGGGACTTAGTTAAACGTTACTTAGTTACGGGCCGGAGTCAAAATTAGTAAACAGGTTTAACTAATATATTTCGCGTTTTAAATTGTCAAGTATTTTAATTACATGTCTACTGCTCGCTATCGTCTATACTCAATTCTGTATTTCTCAAGTCAGTTAAGTACTTCGTGAGGTTTTACCGTGCAAACAAACAAAGGAGCACTTGCAGCTTGATAATATTAGTCTATTCTCTATGACATCGATTTTATCTTGCTTTTATTTTTGAATATACATCATGGAAAATGAAAGGCTTAAAAGAGCTTTAAAATTGCGATCCGTTTTTAATCTACCTAATGGGGTATTCCATCGATGCCAATAACATCACTAGTTTAATCAAGCGATGTCACATGACCAACTTGACTTTTAGTGATGTGTTTTCGCCAATATTAAAATGTCGGTATGAAAAATTCACCTCTTATCGAGTCGTAAAACAAAAAATACATAAAATTTTATATTATTTGATTTTCCCAACATTTTACTTGTGTTAACAGAGATGTATACTTGAAAATGTTGTAAAATTATGTCCAAGTTACAATTTTGCATTACCGTACTTATCATTGTACCTAGTGTACTAGCAAATAATGATACATTAATTAAAATAAACGTATTGGAAAAGAAAAAAGATGATCTTTTTAAAAAGATCAATGAAGTGATAGATATAAATGTGGGTTCTCTAAAAAATGCTAACGAATCGGAGGCTCTGCTTGCTGTCAGGTACTTAAAGACCGTAAAGGAAAACATAAATCTTAACGATTCAGACATAAGAGATGTAACAATAACTAGTGAAGAGATTAACGATGGTGACAGTTTCCGACGAAAAGCGAAAACAAAGAAAACTCGAGATGACTTCATCAATGACTTAGAGAAAATATTGAAGCCAAAGCACGTCTCTGATCAGAAATTAAAACAAATAATCGACAATCGTGAAGTCATCAAAAAGAAATTGGACGATTGGATTCTAGAGCGGCAGAAAGAAAGGGAAAAAATAAGAAAGTATAGATGGCAAGCGAAGTACCTCCAGCGTACGGGTAAAATGGAGAAATGCCCACGTTTCGGTTATACGGGGAGGAAGAAGAAGAAGAAGGAGGACTACGCTAGCTGTAAGAAAAGGTATAAAGAAAAATATGACAGATACTGTAAGCCAGACCGAAAAACGACAATAAAGGTAAGACGGACGCCATCTAGCGGAAGAAAGAAGTATCCATGTTGTAGAAAGTGCTGTAAGAAATCCTATATGGGCTGTCTTTAAGTATCTACAGTATAAAGACACCTATTTTTTATTATTGTAATGATTTTTGTAGTAATAAATGTTTAAGAGTGGCTAAACCGACGCGTTAGCATTGCATTGCGGATATATTATGTAAAGCTTTCCATTCTCTTAACAGGCTACCAACCATTCTTCAGTCAGCGATATTTTATAACTAAAATAATTACACTAGTAAATAAATCTTGAGACTAAATAGCATTTTGACATATATATTTACATTATAAATACTTACTTACTACTAAAGACTTACAGCGTTACACTGTGCTCTACCAATTGAGCTACTGTACCATGTTAGTGCGTTGATTTTTGTCAATCCTTTTAGCAAAGCATCTTTTGTGAGTGTATCATAACTAAAATATAGTTTGACATTTGACTAAAGTAATTTAAAATTATAAAGAAAAATTTAACGAAGAAATTCCAAAACTGTGTCCAATGACAGAAAGCCAAAATAAAAAGCTATTTTCGTTTGACAGAAGATAGTTTTTATTCCGAAAAAACGTATAGCCCCCGTGGGAACAACCGCCCGAATGCATTTAGTGTTATATGCTGGCTCGCCGAACAAAATCCCGTCCTATTTTTTACCAGTAGCGACAATAATATCTCAATATTATTTCGTTGCTACAATATGTTAGTGCCGGAAAACTTGTGCACTCAAAAAGTTAGCCATTTTATAGATTTTGTAACTTTCTTCAATATAGTTGCAAAGTAAAATACTCAAAGAATATTAAATGACAACTGACTAGTCGAACAATACTGAGTTATATTAAAAATATATTTAGATATTGAAAACAATTTATATGAGCGGGACTAGAACCAGCACCTGCAGCGATCCGTGCTGCTGTTACCGATTGAGCTACCGTATCCTGATTTAAAAATCGAAAATAAATTGAAAAAATTTCGACTCGGGCAGGACTTGAACCGGCATCGTCAGCGTTGCGTGCTGTTGCTCTACCAATTGAGCTACCGAGTCTATTACCGTAGCCTATAAAGCAGCACGGATGTCGTGTGATCAATTTAAGTCCAGTCTAAATACATATTTAATTTACGTTACCAAGCATACTGCAAATGCAATATCATGTAATAAATATTAAAGTCAGTCAAGTGGTATATACCTACTCACAGTTGAATTTATGAAGTTCGAATCCTGTCCCGAATAAAGAAAATTATTACAATATATTCGCTGAAACTATCAATTACAGTTACGAAATCATTTTTAATAAAAATGGATGCGGGCGATTATGAGATATACTAACGAAATCATTCGATTATGAAAATGTCTCGAGTGTCTTTTATTGTTTTTGTATTTAGGTTTTCCAAACAAGTTACTTATTTCTTCTTAGATGGCGCGGAAATTTCAGAAATCAGTGAGTGTGAAATAAAATGGTTAATGATTAACAATATTTCTTGAATTAAATACAAAGATTCCTAGGTTTAAATATTTGTTTAGAAAAAAAAGCAAAATTGTCAAGTAATACATGAAGGAAATGAACATTTATTTATTAAAAGGTTATTTTATTTAAAAATAAAAGTCACAATTTACACTTTTAGACAGACTTAAAGAAGGTCGGTCAACTTACTTTTAAATATGCTAAATCCGGTGAAAAGCGCCACGTCTCACAATATCGTAGTAAACAAAACAAACTACACCAATATATAAAAGTATCTATTATTGTTTAAACAACTAAAGTCAAGGAGTGCACGATTAGTATTACTAATTAGCACCATTCGATTATGAAAACAAATTAGTTACTAATCCCATAATCGATTACCAACATTAGTAATACAAAATAAATCGATTATGCCGAACATTCATAATCGCCCACCTCTGGTTTTTATCACGTCGCTATATTGTGCGTTTTAAACCGTTAAAAATGGTCTTTAATAAATAAGGGTCCAGCCAGTTAAAATTTGTTTAAAAACATTTTCTACTCTTACCAAACAAGAGGAACAGAGGTCCCTAAGCACCTAGATATAAATAATTCAAAGAAAATCTGCTGCAAAGCATCCGAAACGTTAGGCCGAAGTTAAAAATCATTTTCATCAAAGTTTAACTAATATATCGCGTTTTAAACCGTTGAAGTGTTTTATTTAAATGTGTACTACTCACGTAAACTATAGACAGTATTCAAAGAAAATCATTCAGCTGGAGATACCTGTGCTTATCTGCGCCCGATGCTGGGATATTGTTGCGCACTGCGCAATGAAAAAAGCCGGGATTCGGGCGAGTCACTGAGTCAGATAAGATAGCGTTACTAACCCATTTGTATTATTGGCTTGGACCCCTACTACGGGTCTGGGCCGAGGTTTTGACGATCACAAATTCGCATACACAATGAACCAAGTTATTTATAAATATAGACAAGAGTTGTCTATAATTTTCGTGAATAGTACACAATTCAATAATTTTAACGGTTTTAAACGGTTTATTACTTGTTTTAACGTTACTTTTTGACGTTTCGGATAAGCCGTTAAAAGGGGTTTTTAAATAAAATTAATCTAACTCTCGTTTTAGACCGTAAAGTTATATGTTTCAATCGCGTAAGCTAATACCTAAGGGCCAATACGCATCAAGCGGTTTTCCTATAATACCTTCAGCCGTCCTGACTTTCAATCTATACTAATATTGTAAAGCTGGAGAGTTAGTTTGAACGCGCTAATCTCAGCAACTAGTAATTCAGAAATTATTTTGATATGGTTGAACCATATCGAGGAGGGCTTTAGGCTATTAAACATTAGGCTGCGACCAATAGGAGCGAAGGAACTGAGGGAAATGTGAAATATTTGGGGAAAATTATTCATCCGTTTTGCCCGCCGGGAAAAAGGTTCAAGCTACAAAAAATATAAATATGAAAGAATGATTTCTCTTTAAATGATATAAAAAATATACTCAATAGAATATGCCAATGTTTTAAGATTACCTTGCAAGAACGACGTTGGTCGTAACATAACATTTATAAAGCTGAGGAGGTTGTATGCATATAATTTGGATGATATTATCATTCCACGCGGACGAAGTCGCGGCCATTGCTAGTCATATGTATGCTAACAAACGGCAGCTGAGCGGCACAATCGCCAGGGTGAGCTAGACGATCAATCGCCTAGTGCATAAAATCCCTTAGACTCATTATACAGAATTAAACAAAAAAGTTACGTCTAGAAAAAGTGTCTTTGCACATTCAGTATTCAATGCCGAAGGTAGTGGTTCGAACAGGGTATAGGGTTGGAGAACGAGCTTCGTGGTTAAGACATTACTCAGATTAATTTGGGTTGGTAATGAACCGCGGTCACATGGACCCCTCTCGCAATACGTCACCCACCATATATTTTGTTACAATACTATGTACATGTCTATTTTATATGCCAGAGAAGAACAGATAAGCTTGACTTGACTTGGACGGTTGTTTTTTTGGAAAATTTAATAAAATAATACTATGTGTAGTTTACGTGCGTAGTAGATTTAAATAAAATACTTAGTTTAAAATCGCAAAATATATTACTTAAACGTTTAGGAACTTTGTATTAGCAACGGCCCGACTTTTTATTTTTCACATCATACCGGTAAGAGGACACCTTAAAGTCAACCCTGCAAGAACGCTTCGAGTTTCGCTTATACCAACTACGACGAAACAGATGGCGCTAGCGTAGCAGCGTACTTTGACATTAGAGACACCCATCTTTAGAATCCTCGTGACCACGGCTCTAAAGCACCCGTAACGTTCGTGTTTTATTTAAAAGTGAAATAATTAAATGATTCTATATTGAAATTAAATTTACGACTGGCACTTCTGGCATCTTCAACGTTCCGTGCTGTTGCTCTAACCAATAATTGAGGTACCGTGTTAAAGAAAATATATCTAAAATAAGGTTTTTAATTTATATATCTAATGCAATCATTAAACATGTAAGACTATTAAAGTTTTCGGAGAAGAAAACAACAAAATAAATGAAGTTGTATTTGTGGTTTGTGTGTACGCGACTAAGGCCGCCTCTGTAAATATTAGTTTAATATAAAAGTACAGTGTAATTTAAACTATGTATTTTACAAATGTATAATACTATATTTAGGCGCATAGTACTCAAGAAATAAACCATTTTAAACGGAGTAAACGTAATATTTAATTTATTCTCAACTCTACCATAATCCCCCTATGACCACTAATCGCGTTTTATATAGTGAGAGTGTTTAATTTTACTTGTAGAATGTTTGTGTTTTCAACAAAACAGAATGCCAATATCCTTATAAAGTGTCGGGCTATTTGATTGGGAAGTTGTTTCGTCGACAAATTGTGAAAACTCGGAAATTGAGTAATAGGGGTGGCTTTGTTTTGTTTACCGCGTCGCCACTGATGCTGTGGACTTGAATAACGCCTTTTGTTCTAGAAAGACAATGTTTTTATTGGATTGTTACAGAAATTAAAGCATAAACTGCAATGAGGGATAGTGTCTATCTATCCTAATATATAAAGCTAAACGGTTCGCTTGTTTGTTTGAATAGGAGCGAATAAACAACTGGAATTGTGAAAAAAAACGGGAAAAATTATACATCCTCGTGGACACGGTTTTAGATACCAAAAAAATGTAAGAAAGAATGTTTTTTTTAGATGATCTAAAAAAATATCCGCGACAGTATATGTGTAAGATTAACTCAAACGACATCATGGCTTAAATCTATAGAGTTAAACACGAGGTTTGCAAAAACCAACATTTGGCGCACAAAATAACTATTGTACGCGGGCGAAGCCGCTGACACCGCTAGTGTCTTTAAATTAAACACTTTAACGCTTTCAAACGCGATATATTAGTACTACTCGCGTAAACTATAGACAGTACCGCTAGTGTGAATAAAAATATCTCTAACAAATACACGAAAAACAACTTACCAAAGGTTTCCTAACTTCAATGTTTGCATAGTAGTAGACAGCCATCTTAGGAAATGAAGAAACAATTGATTTGTTTTTTTTTTTCAATATTCTGATGTATAT